GTCAGCAATCGGCCGGCGGGGTCAATAGTAAGGCGGCTGTCTCCCGAGGAAGTTAAACGTCGGCGCGAGAAAGGCCTATGTTTTAAGTGTGAGGAGAAATTTACACCAGGTCATTAGTGCAAGCAAGCTTTTGTGATCGAAGTTGCTAACCCTGATGAGGAAGGATCTGAGGTCGAGGAGGAACCACATCAGGACAATGAGGTTGAGGGGCCCAACGAAGAAGCAGAAATCTCGATGCACGCAATGGCCGGGATTAGAGGGCCCCGAACGATGCAATTGCCGGCCTGGGTCAAGAATCGGAAGGTGATGGTGCTCGTGGACAACGGGTCATCACACAACTTCATCAATGCCGACTTGTCCCAGAAGCTGAACTTACCAACCAGGAAGACTGAGCCTTTTGAGGTACGAGTAGCCAATGGTGAGAGGCTACAATGCACTAAATCTTTCAAGAAGGTGCCAATCAGGTTCAGCGGAGTTACGGTAAAAGCTGATCTATATGCTTTACCCTTGGTTGGGCCGGATATCGTCCTAGGAGTACAGTGGCTCGAAGGGTTAGGCAAGGTGACCACCGACTATCGAACAGGAATTATAGAGTTCAACTCCGGAGGTCAGCAAGTCACTCTGAGTACTGGCAATGACAAAGGTACCAAGGAAGTAGGACTTAAGAGCATTGAAAAAGTTTGGCGGGGTGGAGGCCAAATATTTGCAGTAGTAGTAGAGAAAACAGAGGCGCACATAGACCGAGAGGAACAACAACAGGGAGATGTGCGCGAGCTTCTCAAGGAATTTGAGGGAGTACTGGGCGAGCCTAAAGGACTACCCCCACACCGGGAGTTCGATCATCGCATACCACTGATCAATGAGCAGCACGCCATACACGTTCACCCTTATAGGTACGCTCACTTTCAGAAAACCGAGATCGAACGGAAAGTGGCCGAGATGCTTGAGTCAGGACTAATCCAGCATAGCAAGAGTCCGTTTTCTTCTCCAGTCCTGTTAGCTAAAAACAAAGACGACACGTGGAGGTTCTGTACTGACTACCGAGCTCTGAACGCCGCAACTATCAGGGACCGATTTCCTATCCCTAGTGTCGACGACATGCTCGATGAGTTAGCTGGGTCACGCTATTTCTCAAAACTCGACCTGAGAGCTGGTTACCATCAGATTCGACTCCACAAGGCCGACATTCCAAAGACAGCATTTCGTACGCACCAGGGGCACTATGAGTATCTGGTTATGCCATTCGGATTGTGCAACGCCCCTTCCACTTTCCAGTTCGCTATGAATTTCATCTTCAAGGAGTATCTACGTAATTTCGTTCTCGTATTCTTTGATGATATCCTGATCTATTCGAAGTCGTGGGGCGAACATCTTGGGCATTTGAGAGTAGTGCTCGAAATTTTGGAGGCCAACTCATTTCTCATCAAGCCATCCAAATGTTCATTCGGGCAGAAGATGGTTGAGTATCTGGGGCACTTCATATCCCACGAGGGCGTGAAGGTTGACCCACGAAAGATTGAGGCTATGATCGATTGGCCAAAACCGACAAGTCTCACACAGCTGAGGGGATTTCTAGGACTCACGGGCTACTACAGAAAGTTCGTGA